CTTGTAAACCTATAACCACTGTCTGTATTTTGCAGAAGTACCCCTTCTAACAAAATAACCTGTGTTAACTAGAGAGAGTAAGCCATCACCTACAGGACAGATGGGATCTGTGTGAGGATGGCCTTAGGCCTGAGCCTAAGCAACTCGATTTTAAAAACTCCAGTTTGAAACCTGCAGTCTCACCAGGCACATCCACAGAGCCCTGCAGTAAGGCCTCAAACAACTTACTTCCCCTCACCCTGATAAACAGAGTGAAGCCCCCAGCAGGCTGTCTTTGCTAGATAAGAAGGGAGGATCAGGGTGGAGACCACCAGACCAGATGTTTCTGACCCCAGGGTCAATGATGTCATGGAGAAATCTGGTGGTAGCTGATCAGGATTGAAAGGGGTCAAAAGCCCCCAAAATTAGTATAAATAATAGAGCTGATGAACAGGGATTCAGCCAGCCCAAACAAGGATGCACTGGAGAGCCTGATGAGGACCTGACATCTCATCACTTGTCATCTTTTCCTGATCCTCCGGGTGATCCTCACCGCTCTCAAACTCTACCGCCTTGTCTGGACCCTGGTGAGAACCACAACTTCTCCCTAGGATTCTCTCCTCAAGGGGTCGTCCACTCCACGCCAGGAAAAGCCTGCCTTGGTTCTGGACCTGATCACCGTGGTCTGAATGTGCATCTGCTGGACATAAAGCCTAAGGCTTGAGACTTTTGAACTTAGCATGCAGAGGGAATGACTGTCACTAGCCTGTCATGATTAAGTGTGTTTTGCAGTGCCTAGAATTAATCTAGAATTGTTTGCTGTGAATTGATTATGTCTATTGCAGTGCCTAGCATTAGGATTGTCTTTTTATTTTATTAAGAACCTATAGAATGAAATTGTATCGAGTAATTTGAGTGAAAAAAGCATTGAAAGGGGCAAAAGCACGTGGACATTCTTTATTTCTCCACTATACTGCGTACGTCACAATTTTTGGCCCCTCACGACAATATGAAACTGACTCCCAGTACTAATACTGATCCCAACTAAATGGAATGAGTAATTGTAAAATTCCAAAAGTTACAATTAAAACAAACTATTCCCAGGGCTGGGGATATGGCTCAATTGGTAGAGTGTTTGCTTCATATGCACAAGGCCCTGGATTCAATCCCCAGAACCACACACACACA